GAAAAGATTCTTGGACCAGACCACCCAACCACCCTAACAAGTCTGAACAACTTGGCTCAAGTGCTAAAATCCCAAGGAAAGTACGACGAATCGGAGGCGATGCACCGACGTGAACTAGAGGGTTGCGAGAAGATTCTTGGACCAGACCACCCAGACACCTTAATAAGTGTTAGCAATCTCGCCAGTGTGCTTCGGAGCCGAGGGAAGTACAAGGAATCGGAGACAATGCATCGGCATGCACTAGAGCAGCGCAAGAACATTCTTGGACCAGGCCATCCCAAAACCCAATTAAGTGCCAACAACCTGGCTACGGTGCTGCGGCTCCAAGGAGATTCTGACGATTCTGAGACCGTCGAGCGGCATACAGGACAGACACTGCCAGCAAACCTTGAGGGTCAGCGGCCACGATTTGCTCGCCGTATGGTCCGTTATTTTTTTTCCGGGAGAGTTATCTTCCACAAGAGTGGTGGGCCGACCAGGTGATGCATTATATCGCTTGCAGCTCCGCAGGGCTAGAGGTGGCAAGAGTGGGTTACTAGTTTCTACCGGCGCGGCGGGCTGTAGTGGTATACGGGGACAGTACCAGGCCATGCGGAACTAACTAGAATGACGAACTAGAGGCTATGTGTTGTGGGCTATCGCATTGTCGCACGTTGAAAGTGCAACATGTGGGGTTTTTTCTTCTTTTTCCATTCCATTTTGTATTCTTCTTTTCCCCCTTTGGATATATCCTAGTTCGTGTAATGGGAAACGATGTGGTACTTGTATCATTTGTCTTCCCGCCCGACAAACTCATTCTTGCATCATTACCCCTTTGCCACCCGGAATCATTCCAAGTCACTCGTTTGTTATTATTCACCCAGTTATCCTAAATGCCAAAATGCCATCCAAGCCATCCCTCAACCTCCCATGCCCTCCATTCTGGTAGCTGTCCCCGGGGGGGTTCCTGCTAGGCCCAATGCAGTCCAACGTTCTAACAAATTTGAAGAAACTCCACTACATCTCTCGCTCCCCTAACGCCATATCCTGCACAGGGCCGGGCGGACTACAAATAACAACCCAGATGCTCTCCTATTATACGAATAACAGCATCATACGATGCGATCGGAGACAATTAGCTGTTGTTCAGTGTTTCACGAATCATCCGCTCTCACTCGTGTTTCACAACGGCAAACCCATTCAACTCATGCTTCACCAAGCGAGCTTGTAAGTTGGTCACTATTCATATTATTATTTTCACCTCTTTTGCGAGATGGCAGATGCATGCTCTATTTATTTACCGGGAAATATATTGTGGCAGATCACCATCTCGGCAGAAGAGGCGTGGATAGAAGTACCGAAGTGGAAGATTCGTGTGGAGAAGGAAAGGTGAATGCCTAGGGAAGACAAGGGAAGTAGAGGGGAGAGCACAAGGGAGATGGGATGGGATGGGATGGGAAGAGGACAAGAAAAGAATGAAGGCGGAATTTTTCTCCGATTTCTCATCATAAGATTGTCCGTCTGCCCATAGGTGGAATGAGCAGGAGAGGAAGTAGTGGCAGGTCGGAAATTGGGATCCCATATCATACCATTCCTGGACGGAAGAGTCCTACTGGTATGCAAGGGCTCGGCCCATGTACGTGTTGGAGATCGCGAGGTGTTGCTCGGCATGCTCTCCGGATGGTTTGTTTGTTCGTTCGCATAGTCTCCGGGAGCGCGCTTTTGGTTTCGGGTGCGCTATGGCTTTGGGTGCACTTTGGCTTTTCGGGAAAGCACATCGGTCGTAGGAATGTGCTGCAGTCTTGGAGAAGTGCGTCTGCCGGAAGGATGGCGGGAGGACTGGAAGGAAAACACGAAGGAAAGTGGAAAGCTTATAAGGGGGGGCCGGAGAGTAGGTAGTCGAAGTTTGTCTTTTCTTTGTTGGCTTTTCTTGTTTGCAAGTATGTGGGAGACGTACCTGGAAGGATGAAGGGTTAGGACTTTGTCGTCTTTTGTGTCGTGGATATATACTCCTATCTTTACCGTTAGTTGGTTAGAGATAGTGCGCGATCGTGAGAGTGAGATTGGTGAAGTGAAGAGTCCCCCCAGCCTCTAAGTTATGCGATCGTTTCACGTGAGCGACCCCGGCATTTTCATTTCACATCCTATCACCCGTTCGTTTAGTTTTGTTCCGCCGCCACTTCGCCGTTTGTTTTTTTTGCCATTCGTTCGCCGTTCGTTCCTTCGTTTTCGATATTGCGATAGCCCTCCGCCGATCCCGCGTTGAAAAGTGCCGTACAGTAAGGCTGAGGATTTTCGTGTGATGGGATTGACGGCCCATCCCCGGTTGGACTCTGTGAGGGAGCACGAAGTGGCCGGGGAATGTTTTCATGCCGACCGAGTTTTGTACACTAGTATTCGTGCTGCACAGGAGGAGGAAGAGCTACGTATCATACTCCCCTCTAGGTTCGAACATGAAAGCTTCAGACATAGAAACTTGTGTTGGCACACTTGGCTAGCTTGCCATTTACAAGTACCGGTACCCATACCTCAATCATGCGAGCCTCGTGCGACCTTCAATGCTACTTGTCATATTTCACTCGGGAATTCCTACAGATACCGGTATGCCTCCACCTCAGGAAATCACGAGTCTCAAATAATTGCGACCAAGCAGACGTGTTGTGACTCAATCGGAGTCTTCGTAATCTGCCCCAGCTCGGATTGTACGGTATAGTAAATGTCTGATTACTTTTTAAGGTAGGGTTATGAGCTTATTTGGCCGTGAGGATAGGGCCGCCTCTTGTCCAGAAAATAACGGAGTAAGAGCCGAAAGCTTTTTTGCAAGGATAGGCGAAGCAATTCTATTCGTGTATCGGTACCATGGGATGTCCTCCAAAAAGGTATATAGCGGATGCCTATTTCGAAATGCACGTCCACCTAGAGGATGCAGTTAGGAGTTGCCTACCTATCGTCTCCAGCCTCATGCGGTGTAACGAGACATGCACCAAATGCTGATAACTGCCTAGACCGCGACCAAAGTCAGCCCAAGCTCCAAGGCATTCCACAAACTACCAGGTAACTAGCAATCAGGTGGCCGTCTTCCCCACCCAGGCTGTTAAGACTTCTGAGATCCCGCGGTCCCAGACTGCCTCAAGACCCTGTCGCTCTAATACCCGTTCTGTACCCATATGCTAAATCTTTGGACTTCACTAAATTCCTATAGCTCGAGCTCGGATTACATCCCACAACTCCCTCAAAACCACAGAATTATTTATCTCTATATACAACGCTGGGTCCTCGACTACCCTTCCTACCGTATTCCCCCCTTATTGACCTGTTTCAGGTCTCACCAAAAGATTTTGAGCCATACACACCCCGATTGGCAACCGATATTGCTATTCACGATTTAGATACCTTAGCGACACTTTATCACTTTCCGACCCGACCTTCGAAAACAGTCCTACAGCGAGTTGAATACGCCAGTATAGTACATGATGGATCGGTGGGGTCACCTTCTCCCTTAACCTTTACCATTTCAAAATGATGAGCGCTAATCCAATAATCTTTCCAGAGGAATTCCAGCCAATATCACGGGAAACTTCAGCGGGAATTCAGGGGATAATAATGTTTTCGGTAGTAATAATAACAACTTGAACACCGTCAACCTGAACAATGTCACCAATCATGGGGGGATCTATCAAGGGTGCGTGTTTCGGGGCGGGGATAGAGGTATTATCAGGTTTTCCGAGAGATTTCAGGCCAAAATCTAATCTGCTACCAGTATCACGACTAGAAGAATCCGGGCCTTATCGGATGATTCCATATGGTAGAAACAACAAGTTCACGGGCCGTAAACATCTCATTGAGGAGGTAAAGAGGCATTGCGAGGGTAGCAACCACAACCGGATAGCACTCCACGGATTGGGCGGTTCTGGGTATGTGCCCATCATTGTTGCCAGAATTTCGCGGGTTTACTAACATTGCCTAGGAAAACGCAGATTGCACTCGAATACGTTTATCAGCGGGCAAGCGAGAGCGACTGTCATGTTTTTTGGGTGCACGGAAGTGGAGCACAAAAATTCAGCCAGGGTTTCAGAGCCATTGCGCAGCATGTTCGAATTCCCCTAGCCAGCGCCGAGATGGAAGAAGAGGGATTCCTATTAAATATAAAGAGGTGGTTTGAAGGTCCAGATAAGAGCGATTGGATACTGGTCATTGACAACGCTGACAACGAGGAGGACTTCATCGGCAATGGCGGTCGCATTTCCAAATTTGTACCGCAAGGCCCTAGGGGTACTCTAATATTCACCACCAGATCTCTCCAAGTCGCATCATGGCAGGGATGCCATAGGATCGATGTCGGAAAAATGGAGGGGGATGAAGCCCAAGAATTATTTTTGAAACGCTTGGGTAACTGGAACTGGAACAGTTCGAGAGATGAAGAAAAAGAGGCGATCGCAATGTTATTGGACTCCCTACATCACATCCCACTGGCTATTGTAGGAGCGGCAGCCTTCATGACAGTAACCCAGACAACGCCATCAACTTACTGGTCCATTTTCCGGGCAAGCGACGAACAAGCAAAGCGGCTACTTTCACGGCCGTTTTGCGATATCCAACGAGAAACCGATATGACGGAAAGCATCCTGGCTACGTACTTTATCACCTTTGACCGAATCACAAACCAGATGCCCAAAGGGGCGGATCTTCTACGCCTAATTGCATTCTTCGATCGCCAGAACATACCCGAGGAGCTATTGAGCGAATGTGGTTTGGAAGGGATGGATGACCCAATTGAGTTTCGTCAGGCAATTGGAAAACTATTAGGATTCTCACTAGTTACAGCTGTCAAATGTGAGGACAAGACATTTTACGAACTTCATCGCTTGGTCCAGCTTTCTCTACAAGTCTACCTACCAACAGAGGAATTGAATCGATGGAGGGCCACTGCGCTGGGAATAGTTTCAAGGTTGTTCCCTCGGCATTGGATCACGTGGAGAGATGTTAGTTCTGCATACATTCCGCATGTGCTTGTAGTAACCAAACATTCAACGGATCCCATCTCCGAAGAGCTTTGCTTCCGCCTAGCACATTACCTTGTGGATAAGGGTTCCTACAATGATGCAGAAGTTCAATTGCGTCGATGTATTGCACTTCGGGAAGAGAGTAAAGTGTATGACTGGAATGAGGAAGGTCCCAGCAGAATTATGCTCCTGGGGGGGGTATGCATATATCAAGGAAAGGCAGATGTGGCCGAGGAGATACTTCGGAATTTACTAGAGGATATTGAGGAATCATTGGGCCGAAACAGTCTCACTGTCCTGAATGCCGTTGACTACCTGGCTCTGGCGCTGCGACACCGTGGAAAG